AAGAGGCACCAAAAGAATTCTGCTCATTCTAGTGAGCTGGGAATTTAGTTGTCATGGCCCTACAGAGATTGGAGAGAATTCCAGCACAGGATCCTCTGGTGATATCAGGGCAAGGTAGTTGGATGGAAAACATCCAGGGCTGCTGGACAGACCCACTTCTGAAATGGACAGCTGTGTCTAGACAGTCTTCTCTAACTTTTTGCTCTCCAAGATAAAGAGAGTGTCCAGACGAGGCAGTAGATTTCTAATCTGTAACCCATATCATCTGTTTTGGGGGCACAGTTACCTTTTCTCAGGAATGAAAGCCCACAGCTGATGAAAGCTGAACTTTTTATCTCCCTCACTGCTGCAGCCTTATCATACACAGGACTTTAATCCCACACAACACTTAAGAAATATAATCATTAAAGATCTGAGTACACGTTTTGAGATAAGATTGGTTCATGATATTATTACTGATTGCATAATTATGGAAATGAGAAAATAATCCCCTTGGGCTTTGTTGTAATGACTTCTGAGCATCTTGCATCATCATAGGCAGACAGCAGACTTCAGGATGCCAAGCTTTATTAAAAGGAATGTGGAAAATCTTGTTTTGGTTGGTGTCAATGTCTCTGGTAAGGGAGGACACCATGCATCTTCCACAATGAAATTGGATTGGGTAGAAACCCATGTGATCTTTTTGAAAATAAATAGTTAATCTTTACTTGATCTCCTGTACTCATGTCTTTTGATGCACTGGTAAACTGCATTCCTGACAGTATCTTGCTGATATTGTGGCCTTGAGAGACCTTGACTGCCTGGTCTGTGCCTCTGTTCTGAATCAAAAGACAACATGGGACCATTGCAGACCTGGCTGCATAGTGCTGATAATTTCATTGGACATATTACTTCATGGAATTGTTACTATTTTACTGATGTGAGAAGAGGTGCTGCAGGAGTGAGCTTGATGAATGTAACCTGGCCAGCAGCTGGACTCCCATCAAGGAGAAATTATTAGGACAAACATAAGTGCACTAGTGTTAGTAAAAATGGAGATAAAAACACACACACGGATTTCCCTTGCAATATTTTCTGTAATTTTGGTTTGTGTTAGAGCCACCACTAAAGAGGAACGCTTGATATCACACTCAGCTTTACAAGGGGAAATAAGGAGGAACCTGGGGACTGCTGACCAGTCAGCCTCACCTTAGTGGCCAGTAAGATCATAGAATAGATCCTCCTAGAAGTTATGTTGAATCACATGGAAGACAAGGAGGTGATTAGAGAGAGCGAACATGGCCTTAGCAAGGGCAAGTCATGCCTGACTAACCTAGTGGTCTTCTACAACAGAGTGACAACTGATGCCATTTACCCAGACTCCTCTAAGGCCTCTGGTAGACTCCTCCATGACAATCTTTCCTCAGATTTGGCGAGGTATGGATGGAATATTACATAGATAAGTAACTGTTTGGCTGGTTGCATCCAAAGAGTTTCAGTTAACAGATCAATGTCAGAATGGAAACCAGTAATGAGTGATGTCCCTTAAGGGCCTGTAGTGGGACAAACACTAATATCTTCATTAAGTGCCCCAGACAGTGGGATCGAGTGCACCCTCAGCAGGTTTGCAGATGACAGCAGGCTGAGTGGTGCAGCTGATGGGCTTGAGGGAAGGGATGCCATCTGGAGGGACGGGCTTGAGGAGTGAGCCTATTGGGAACTTCATAGAGTTCAACAAAGGCAAGTGTAAATGTGTTAATATGCAGTTTGCTCACTATACAAAACCATCTTTGCTCAGAAGAGGGATCAGGAAGGCCAGGTGACCACATCAGTGGTACTTATGTATACTTTTACCCTTGGGCAATCAGTTGCTAGATGGCAACTTTCATCTTAGCTGTGGGTGTGGAGATTTGTTTAAGTACTGCTAATGTACGTTGCTTTTATTTTTTTACCATTAGTCTCATCGTATGCTGTGAAAATGGGTGTCTCCCACCAGTCTTCTTCCTTCCTCACTGCAATTTGTTCAGGCCACACCCTTATCTCTCCATTTTAGCAACAGGGATTGTTGTGGTCGTGCTGTCTGAACGTGTTCTGCCACACTGCAGTGTCCACAACGCCAGCTGTAAAGCAGATGTACGGCCAGCACTGCTGGATTTTAAAACCTTTAAAGGCTCGGGCTCTGGCCTCACTGCTGGGGAAACCTTGGCTTGTGCTTAAAAAAACCAGACACGTGCACAAACACATACACACACACACTGAGACATATTCTATTTTTCTGAAGGGACCATTGTGTGCCTCTTTATCTTTTCCTCCCACCCCTTAATCCCTTCTGACACTTTCTGTAGCTGAGACCACTAGTAATCTATTTAACCGGATTTTCCAGGCACTTCAGAGTAGTAGGTGTTACTATATGTATAGTGCCTGATCACTACTGTTGAGGCTCAATAATAAGTAAAATCTGTTGCATTCCTTGGTCCACCAAGCAGTGACCAGACATACCCCTCACACAAATATCTGTAGTGTACCAGAAGCAAGTGCCACCTTGTGTTGGCCACAGCAGTCCTTGAGCTCTTCTGCTGAAAGCTGCACTGCTCATCTTCTGAAACTCTGCAGAATCTCCAGGGAGATTTGTTTTTACCTGTGGCTCATGAGACCATGCTTACCTTTGGTGTCCAGTTGTCCATTTAGCTCTGACTGGCCAGAGTCAGTGAGGTTTTATGAAGGACCATTGCAGAAGCTCATGACCCTGACTGAAAGCCAGGAGCAACTCAATGCTCTGACAGTGATTATTTACCATTTTCCCATGTTACATGCTGTATTTGGTCATGTTCAGTAACTCTGTAGTAATCAGACAAGATGGAACGGCAGCTTGTCAGCCGATTTAATTAAAACCACATTTCTTTCTTTTTTTTTTTTTATTGCCTCTCACACATCATTAATATTCTGTCTAAGACCCGCCTGCAAATCTAAAGATTGGAATCAGTCTCATTGTGCTCTTTCCGAGCTTGAATTCCCAGACACACAAACCTGGGAAAGAGTTTTAAAGGGACAGGTAATAGTTAGAAACTAATTTGATTACATTGAAATGGACCACTCATTTGTCCAAATAAATGCTTATTAAGGGACCAGTCTTTCAGGTTGCCTTTAAATGCAGTGCAGGCTTTGCTTTCATGGATATGACTGGGAATAGAATATATTTAGGATTTCCCAGGAATCAGGTCTTTGCTCTGCAGACTTCTGCTCATTCAAATTGTTGGTTATGCAAATATATTAAAAAGACTCGAGTAAATAACACTGCACCCTTGTTAGTAAGGTTTATTGTTTAGATATTTAGCAACAGTGTTTTATTGTCCCTTTTCTGAAGTGTCAGGTACGATCCATTTCACGGTGACAGTGTTAAGGAAACTTCTCAGTCTGACCATTCCCAAACTCTCTGGCAGTCACACTCCCAAGGCGGGGGATTTTCACTGGTGGGACCGAAGTCCCTTCACCAAGGGCGGCTCCAGTGACTGATGGGTCCCTGCGTGGCTCCCACACACCCCACTCACACAGTCAGACCCGCTTTCCTCACCGGTTCTACCCCGGGGTTTCCCAAAGCAGATGTCTGGTTCCATGAAGCCATTTATTCACGGCACATTAACACAGAAACAGCCCGAGCTGGTGCCTCCGAGGAGGACCCACAACAAAAATCCCTGGGCTTTTACACCCTCACAGTCTACCCGTACTCAGGTCTCGCTTTTCCTCCCGAGTCTCTGGCTCCTGCCCCCATCTCCGTGTCCATCCCTCTGGCTGGCGTCACCCACCTTGTTATCCCAAAGGTTGGCAGTTCGCGGCCTCCCGCCCAGAGCTGGAGCTGCATCTCAACCTGCAGTTTGCGAGCCGAGCTGCCTGGACCACGTATTCTTTAACAACAGTACATCAGCCACCATATGCACTCGATTTACAACCAGATTACAAGGCAAAAAAATAAATCTCTCATTTAAAATTATATACAGCAGTTTATTTAAACAGTGATTAACTTTCATCAACAGGCTGTGCATTTCTGTTTTCTTTAAGAAACCCTGCCACTCAATCACAGCTGCAGCCCTCCTGCAGCACCCTGCTACTCAGTGGCTTGAACCCAGCTCTACAGATAGTTCACAGCCAATTACCATACAGGTTTCTTATGTTAAAATTAAGGCAACTGCAGTCAACAACCTCTGCTGAATAAAGGTAAAAGCTTGAGAACATTTTGCATAACAGTCATCAGCATAGCTGATAGCTATTACAGAGTTCTTGTGCAGTAAGCCTACGCAGATACTATCTCTCTTGCCTGTCTGTTTCAACACGCATCTCATCTCATTTGCAACCCTTTGCTTTAATTAGCTGAAGTCTGCTTCAGTCTTTCATATGTCAACCAGCCTGTGTACACTTCCATATTTTTAATCAGTAGCCTGTTGTCTTTACTTTGTCATTCACACTAGCATATAAATCTGCCCTTCTTATGATCCTCACTGCTTGGTAGAAGTCAAAACATGCTGTTTAATTTTCCTGTTCACTGATTTCCATTTGTTTCATGTTCAAATGCTGGCTCTTTTCCCCCTTTCAGGCATGCTGTGAGCATTAAACTTAGTGATTAAATGCCAAAAGAACAGTTCTTTTCCCCTTCCATGCCCACAAATGGGTCATCCTAACCCTCTCTGGGATGCCTACCTCGACAGCAGTGCCCCGACAGCAGTGCCCCGTGCTTGTGTGCTTAGCCTATCTGGACGGGACTGCTGTGGGCTGGCAGAGGTTAGCTAACGATGGCTAATAAAACAGGTGCAAAACTTCATGCTCTCCTAAGGTTGTGACTGGCTTCTTGCTGTTTCTTTGCCTTTTTTTTTTTTTTTTTTGGTTTGGTTTTTTTTTGTTTTGTTTTTTAATTTAATCTACTACAGCAGAATATTTCATTTCACTGATGACATAGCCAAAGACACCAAGACTTAAAAATAACTGGATGTAAAAGAATGAGAGGGTGACATGTGGCTCTGCACCAGCTTTCAAATTTTCCGGTTTACTGGGGGGGAATCTGAGGTTGTCTGTAGATGTCTGACAGGTGGGGTTGCTGGCCCTGGCATCTGTGCCTGTGGCTGATCCCCCAGCTGAGCCTGGAGTGTGTTCAGGATGTCATCTAGCTTCTGGTCCATCTGCATGACCTGTTAAGGAATCAGAAAGCAGATGAGCTATCAAATCGTTGCACATGCTTCTGGTGAGAGACATTCATAGGCCAAAAGCTCTGGATGGATAAAGCCTGGCAGGGAGCATGGGCATCTGAGTACCAGCAGCTCCTCTGAGTTTAGTTTAGCTTCCTGCTCTAGACCAAATGACACTATGAAGTCACAGGGAAAGGTGTAAAGCCATGTGAAGTGGCAGCAGAAGGACAGGGCGTTGCTGGCTCAAGGACTGGATCGCTTAAATCAACCATTTTGTCTCAGCCTTTTCCCAGGGTTGTTGATGATGCATCATGCAAATATCTGCCCTGAAACTCTCTTTCACGCTTCAGTTTACTGTGAATGTTTTTTCCCAGTACCTCTCTCAGTCTTCACCACCCTTAGTTGTAGGACATCATGCTTTCCATTACTGTCTTGGGAAATGAAACAGCTCCCCTCCCTTCACACCATAAATAGGTGCCTCTGTGTTACATGTTACAGTCAGAGATCCTACCAGATATGGTGTTTGTTCCCATGCATTTTGAGGAGGATAGTCTACTAAAAACCACATAATAATACCAATGACTTTATTAAAAAAGAAAAAAAAAGGAACAACCGTTCTATAGGAAGCTTGAGGTGCTAATCCCTCCTCTCATTTCTTTGCCTTCCAGCTGAAATTTCTCAGGCATAGTCCCTAGGTAGAGGAGTCTTTCCTAGCTGTTATTATTATTAAGCAGGGAAAGGCAAGTCTGGATTTTTAAAGGGACACTGCTCTCATACTTCCTACTGCTTTTTTAAAGTTCTGACCTTTTCTAGGAGCACACAGCAGGCGTTATCCTGTTTTGCTGGTAGGGCTGGTAGGGCTTGCCTTCACTGCAAATGGGATCCCACTTGCCTTAGCATCACCCAGTGGGACAGGCTGGGGGCTGCTGGCTGTTTTACTTTGCTCCAAAGACAAAACTGTGGCCAGCATCATATAATCAACTGGGATCGCTTCTAATGATGCTGGAATACAGTGCAGCTTTGTGTTATAGATGAGCCCTAGAAAAATGAGCATTTTGAAGAACATTGAATTGTTCACTTTACAGTTATCTGCCATGAAACTATGAGCCTCTGCAAACTGTGATCTGTCCCAGTGGGTCTAATAAACTTTGATAGCAAACCTTTTAGAGCGATATCAGATCTAAACTGAGCTTTCATTAAAAAGCGAGCGAGAGAGAATGAGAGAGAGAAGGATTCCAGCCTTTTTCCATTCAAAGATAACTTTGGAAATAGCCATTGGCAGCAGGAACTGAAAGCTTAGCAGGCTGAGATTGCTTCAAAAACCAAGGCAAAGAAAATCACCTTATCCGCTTTTGCCTCCTCTGTCTTTTCTCACTCCAAGTGTCAGCTCCCCTGAGGGCCTCTCAAACCTCAGGGTACCAGGAACTTACTCAGGTTCTATCTTTTTGGCAACTGCTATCCTCTCCTATATATAACCTGCTGGGGGAAGGAGGACTGGAGTGTGCCTCCTACATCACAGAGGGAGAGATGTGCTGGTCTCTTTTCCATTTTTACTTTTATGACTGCTGTCTTCTAGTAGAAAAGCCCCATTCCCTGCCTCTGATTTGGTGTGGGTGTGGTGTGAGGCAGTGCTTTCAAGCAGCAAGAGGGGAGTATTTAGGACATGGGTTAGACAGCACAGACCTTTCCTACGGTTTCTGCCCCAGTGTTTTCAGGTGTGTGGCTGGCACTGCCTGAGCAGTTGATCACCCCCAGAAGCACTGACAGTGCTCTCATCTCGGGCTACATATTCATACAACAGCTACATATTCTGCTCAGCATTAACTTGGTTGGAAGTCTGGAAGTCACTAGTGGTTTAAGAGTTAAGCAGCACGGAATTAATTTAAAAACCACAGCCTTTATTTTCCCCTCCATTCTTGAAAAGCCTGTTTGGCTGATGCTGGTAATGACTCAACAGAATCTTTCTTAAGCAGAAATGTTGCTGCAGAGCAGAAACTAAAGTAGAACTAATATTTTGCAATAGGGTAAAAAGAGGTGTAGGCAGGGAAATGGGATCAGGTAGACAAAAGATCTTTGGGGCTTTCTTTTGTGATGCTTTGTTGATTTTGATCTGCAGGCTTGATCTTAGATAAGCTATGCCTGCATATTCCATATCATTTAAACTTTCTGTATATCTCTGTATTTTGCCAAGTCAGTGAAAGAATGTGATGGGGAATAATTTTATGCACTTTTCTTTCCAGGAGAAGAGGAGGGTGGAGAATGTAAATATTCGTTTGTAGGGATGGAAAATGAGAAATTCATACATAAGGGAGTAGATTACACTACACTTCTGTCACACCTTCCACATGAGGATAGGCAAATATTTCCTGTACGTCAACAAATAAAGCTTCTGAGTTCTTCTCTGTCAACCATACACATGTGAGGGTTTTAATGATAATTTTTGAGATTAGAAGTACGACTCTGCAAAATTAAGTGAGCCATAAGAAAATGTGATCAGTGGCAGATCTCTTCTAATTTGCTTTGTATTTTATACACAGGCTCAAGCCACCACTTTCTGGCTTCAGATGTTCTAAAGTATACCTTACTTGCAAACATGCAACTAGACTAGTAAAACTTTAGTCAGAAGGACAAATTCTTAAGCACCTTGTTAAACAAGAGAGTATTAAAAAAGGGTCAAATTTGGAGGCTGCTTAACTGTGATTAGGACATGACTTGCAGGGGGTTAGAATCACTTTCACATGGGTGAAGTTTTTTTCATAGGAGGGTCCTGGTTTCTCCAAAACCCATTTATCAGCTATTACTTTCCTTAAGCCCAAACAGAAGGAGTTGCCTGTTTGGAGTAACACACCCAGGAAAGTGTGCTGACAAAGGGTTAATTTGAGCAACATGTTTTTAAGATGAGTAAAGTGAGAAGCCATCCAGAGATTGCTGCAGAGTTTCCAGAGAGATGTGATATGGCCCTAGAAGGCTCAGTGGAGACAGGTGAGTTTGGCAGCTGTCCATGGGCAAACGGCAACAAAACTTCTGTTCTCCCACACCACAATAGTGCTCTGGAGATGATCTATAAAATTGTTAAAATGCTTTTATATCCTTTCAACTGCTCTGTAGAAAGGAGACTTGCAAAAGCAGTTTAAAGTATTACACTGCTGTTATTGGGACTGTGAGGTGAGCTGAAGGAGTGTTGAAATGTGCATTTGTTCTGACATCGCCTCACCACCCTGGCACGCCCTCCGTCCCTCTGGGAAAGTGTGCTGCACTCCATGGTGACATGCAGGACTGTTAGACAAAGAGAATGCCCTGCAACCAGCTCTAGCGAGTCACAGTAAGCCATGAAGTCACTCAACCCATGAGACACGAGGTGTCCCTGCCCTTCACCTTGAGGACCAGGTTGGCTTTCAACACCTATGTGCTGTTTGAGGATCCTTTAGAGCCTCTATTTGTGAAAGCAGGTGTTCCTTAAATACTTCTTTTTACCTTGGTTTTCTCCTGCTGCAGAAATGCCTTGTGTAGAAGGATCCTAGGAATGGCAGCAGTATGGAGGAGGAGGGTTGGGTCATGCTGGGGATTTGCCACATGCTGGACAGATTCCTAACTTCCCTGAGAGCTTTTTTTTCTGACATGTTTTGCACACAGAGACCATAAACAAAATGCATGTGTGGAAAACTCGGTTGGAGCAGTCACATGGTCTTTCCCAAATCCTCTCACTTTAGGCCAGAAAAATCCCTCCCCCCAGGTTTTGTCTATCTTTTTATTATGATTTCTGGAGGCTGGGAAAGCCAGTATCAATTATGTGCACAACACACTGACATGAACTATTTCCAGAGGAGTATCAGAAGGGGAAGATGGTCTGCTGGAGCACTGTGAACCCACAAACATGCTCAAATGTTGCTAAGTCAGTGAAGCTTTGCATCAAAAGCTATACCCCATAAATCAAATAAAGTTGCTGTCACCTCCTTAAGGCTCTGCTCTCTCCCTCCCTGGAGCAGTCCTGCATGGGCTGATCAACACGGCTGAGCTGTACAGCCTTCGTGCAGTTGTCTGCTACATGTCTGGGCTGCTGGTACCAGGGATGCAGCACGAAATGGAGGAGGGAGAGAAGACAGCTCAATTTGTGTTACTAATCAAAATGTCATGGAGCAACAGCAGGTTCTGCTTTTGGTTAAGCTGGATTGACTTTAGCTTCCTGTTTGCCTCACTCAAGTGCAGAAAGCTATGAAGCTGTGCCCACGGGACAGCCCAAGGTGTCATAGCAGGAGCAGAGGGTGGAAGAGACACTGCATGGTTGAGCCCCATCCCCTGCTATTGGAACCACTGTACAATGGGTGTTTTGGTTCTGGAAGCCCCACAAGACATCCAGGTTTCCTCTCCTTGACATGCAGCCCTCATCCCACACTAAACTGTGAACCTAAGCATGGACAACCAAGAACCATCAAAGCCCAGTGGAACACAGGAGGTGAAGAAGGACATTCCCAGGGTCTCTGCATGGTGTTGTGGTATTTTCCAGCTGACAACACAAAGTCAACCACATTTGGGGCCAGAGCTACTGTGACCATGCAAACACAGTATCCCAGCCCAGGGTTTCCAAACCACCAGAGTGCTCAGCTCAGCCCCACTGAACACTCCTTCTGTAGCAGTGACCCAATGCTGAGCTCTGGGATTTGCCACCATGCAGACCATTTCTTCTGTTTCCAGCCTTTGCTGCAGGTCCTGGCTCCCTAGGTAGCTCTAATGAAGCAGGATCCACTCACTACAGTTCTGACTTATAAACAACCGATTGCAGGGCTTTAACACCAACTGCCTGGAAAAGAATCATTTGATGGGGAAGATTTATTTTGTATGGATAGAAGAGTGTATATGAACCTTAGTCTGCCATGAGCTATTCTACCTGCATGTACTTGTTTCTGAGTATTCCCAGCTTGTTATTTGTGATAGGTCACCTAAGGTCTAGTTTGTAGGAGAAAATGGTATTAATTTAGCAAAATCAGATGTGATTTAGTTGAACT